TCCGAGTAGTTTGCTCTTCTTTGATCCCAATTGTTCTGATCAAAGGTATTTTATCACTAAGCGTCCGGCTGGATGACTCATTAACAAAGCCGCCTTACTCTTCAGATTTCGTCTTGGACTAATCCATAGAGAAATCGAGAGGAAGCAACTGGGACGAAATTTCACGATTTTCTTTCCCTATCTCTGCAAATCGGCGCGACTGGCTGATGCTTTCGATAAAATTAATCCCCCTCCACTATCAGGCAATGAGGAATCACAAGGCTTGCGATCAGGCACTGCAATGTTTCTCGCTCTCGTTGCTCTTATTTTTCTCGGAAGCGTCGAGTCTTCCAAAAAGAGCTCATTGCCGAAGGTGGGTGCCTCTCAGGTTTTTTAAAAAGCACTTTGTTCGGATAGGGGTTTATTTCTCAAGAACCTTCTCCAGAACGTAATGTGATTGTCGTTTTAACTCTGTGTTAGTCCGCCCGATCAATTCTGGACAATTTGGCTACACTGGATGCCCAACGAACAACGATTTTCTACTACAATGGAATCATATCGTCGCCTTATTATCCGAAGCTCTATCCGCCAAACACCGAGTGTTACTACTACATGACAGCTGAGCCTGGGAAAGTTCTGAGGTATCTGACGGCTGCTTGTGAGTATTTTTTCTTCCCTAATGAAACTATTAATATTCTTCTGCCAGTTTCAATTTCACTCATTTCGACATGGAATCCTGTTGTGACTACGTTACTATCTATGATGGCGAAGGCATAAGGAGTCCGATACTCGTACAGTAAGCCCATTACAAGTTTGAAACTTAGAACGTCTGTCATGCCAGGCTCAAAAGTGAGCACGACACGTGTAGGGCTCTCATGAGATAAAAAAGCTCGAATACCTCATTTCAAAACCGTAAGTCCATGGTCGGTCATGATGTGGTAAACAGAAAGGCTACATTATTGGAAAAAGTACTGTTTGTTAGAGGTGAGGGTGGCAATAGTACTGACCGTCACTTCACGTTACGTTGGCAAATGAAATCCCGAACAAGCCAACCAAGTGTGCCAGGTCTGTGAGGCAGTATCAACCTTATGTTGGGACAAGTAACCAACGGGGGGTCGTACTCAGTTGAGCTTGGAGGGGGGGGTCGTACCCTCTCGGTGGCCGACAGTGGGATTCTTGGTAATATCGGATAATAGCCAGCACGTTACGTTTTCGTAAGATGACTGATACTAGAGCATCTATAAACCACGCTTCCCTCTAAATGAGCTTTCAAATGAATCAGCGAATCAGAAGCGCGGCCGAGGCGTGGCGCACACCAAGGCAGGGTATGCCACTGCAAGCGCATGCTCGAAGCTTTCTAACACATCCTATGTTCAACAAGAAATTGCTTTCCCTGGAGGTTACGGCCAGTGAAACCTAAAAAACCCGCGTTTTCAAGAAAATGGCTTGAAGAATGCCCTCCAAAAAAGTCTCTTTGGGACTATTTTTTTAACTGCTGACTTTTCAGGAACTTTCGGGTACTTTTTATAAAGCTTGAATCCTGTAGTTTGTCACACCGCGTTCAGCTTCCCGATTAAATCTTCTCGTTTGACGGAATCAAATGCGCTCTAGGACGCGATTCAACATATTCAAAATGCACCTCTAGTTTTCATACTAGCACCTATTAATATGTACACCTATCGGTTTTTTGGGTCTCAGAGCTGGGGGCTCGTATTCATGAAGGTGACTTGCCATGAAGGTGTGGGTGTCGTAAAAAATTCCAAAAAGTACCAACGATAGGGTTGACCATCCTGTGAGGTCGCCTCATTGCTGCTAAAGTTGTCGGGAAGGATAAAAAGCACTGGTTGTAAATCTGGTGCTGCCGTTTAGGAATTGCTGAATGCCTTATTTTTTAGTAGTATGATTTCAAGAACACTCGAATTCCAGAAAACTCGAGTGAGTATGAGTTCTGTGAAAGGAAGTGGAGAGGGGTGATTAGTACTGGATAGGCGTTGGCGTTGAAAGCACCACCATTTTCAAATGATAAGGTTTTCAAAAAGGTTCACCCCTGCCCTAGAGCCGCATCAAGCTATATTTCTACGAAATTCATCGAACAAATTGTTTAACGGTTGCCGCGAGATCAAATTATGGAAATGTGCTAACTTTAGGAGAATTTTCTGTTCAAAATTACGCGAAACCAGGTTCCCTCCCGACTTTAGAAAAAAAAATGCATACGCAGTGCATCCGAAGCTCCCGGAAATTGTATGAGGAGGGCGTAGCGTATTTTTATCTTCGAAAAAGTTATCCTTTTCTTAGTTGAAATTCGAATGCTAGCTATTCTAACCAGTGTTCTTCATATTCCAGACTTGGAGGCCCTAATGCTACCGTGACGACTCCTGATAAACTTTACACCACCACACAGCGGTTCGCCCTCGTCACCTTCCAGTCAGATCCTGTCGTTCAAAAGACTGGATTTCAGTTCGTATACCAGTCTGTCTTCAGTGAGTGCCACAGTTCCGGGTAGGGCTATGGGTGCTTCACCGTGGCCTTCTAAAATTAAGGATATGTGCGTTGATAAGGCACAGTCTAGTGAAGTGTGTTTGGTGAAGATTAACCATCCTGTAGGATCAAGTCGCAATACGAAAATTGTTATCGCATTTCTGATCGCAGTAGCGCATTTAAGCCCTATAGGAGCTGCTATATCCCCCCATTTGTAAGGGTACAAGTGCCCATCGCGCTCAGACACAGATAGCTCATCTCGCCCTTCGAAACTCAGACGAAAAGCACCTTAAAAGTACTGACTAGTCCTTGTGTGAAAAATATTTTTGATGAACTGACTGCGTGAGACCGCTCTTATCTCAGGCGCATATAGCCGCTGCTTCACAGGTCCAGACTAGGAAGTGGGCGAGAAATATTCAGGATAACAGGATATCAAGATATCAGGCGGTTACGTTTAGATACGTATTGATCAGGATAGTGAGTGATTAAAGGCAGCGATTACGATAAAGAGGAAGCGCATCGGGAAGCATGTGCACCACATGAATCAGTTACTTGGCTGCCAGGAAGCGAGGTGTGGCGCTTTCACGACGAAAGGTGCGCTGGTTGCTGAGCAGGACTTCGAAAGCGCTCCGCCCCCAAAAGCGATCCGCCCACTAGTTTATTTGGTGATTTGGACGAGCTGCGTTGCCAGCAGCGGCACAACTGGAGCAACTCGATTGGAGCGTGGTTTGGCATGTGCCACCAAACATTTTGCGGTGAACCCTTTCATACGTCTGACTGCTGGGCTGTTCCCTGTTCATGAGTGAAAGCCAACGGCCTAAAAAGAGGGTCCAGTTTTGCATTTCTCAACGGTTGTGCTGCTTTTTCGCACTGGTGATTACCAATGAGCACCATCTCGTGCTCGTCTGAACCCTCCTTCAAAATGTATCGTAACCGCTGCCTCCAAGTAGATTATGCGTCCACGTTCGAATCGATCAGTGGCTACCTCGTCATTCAGCGCAATCTCCTTTCCTATTGCTGACGAGATCTCGGAATCTTCTATCCTGCAGCAATCTCACTCGATATGCACCTATCTAATCTTTTCACAGAAGAGCGTCTTCCATTTCCACCCATTTCCATACGATTGATTCAACAAAAAAAGTGTTCCGATGCTATAAGTAGGGTCAATCTCCTTGTAAATCTACCAACGGAGGGGGTCCTATTTCCTGATACGAGTTTCGTATTTTTGTTGCGCGGTGCAATGTTCCCAGAAAGGGGTTGTATTTGAATTTTCAGAGAGGATTGCGGTCGTGGAAGTTCGAGGTTCTGAGAAGCTAGTTAAAGGAGGTCCTTCCTGAGGGTTTTTTTTTAAGGAATTTGGCAAAGTTTTCACGAAAGGTGCATGAAATAGGTAGAATTAGAGGATTTGCCGTACACATGTACCCCTCCCTGTCTCGATGGGACTTATGAAGGAAAATTAGTGGTGGATTTGGAGGAAGCAACACCGGAACGGAATGCCATAAAAATCGTGGGTATTGAGCAGGGTCAACCGTCCGTTGGACAAAGTCCAACGCGACGACGAGAGTAATGCCGAGAGTGAACGTACGCACGGAGACACAGACGGCTCGCGGGTGGCGAGAGTGAATGCCGGCGCGGAGAGCGGTGAACATCGGTCCAACGTCGCTCCAATAATTTGGACAGCAGAAGATTTGGCGAGTAACCAACTGCTAAGTGAAACCGTTCTTGGACTGACTGAAGACGTCCCTGATGTCCTGCAGAACAACAATACCAATCTTCAATGGTGAGTGATGTCCTGGCCCTCTCCAATATCGACAGGTGTACCACGAATGTGGTGATGAAGTAATTGTGACAAGATAAGAGTGAGATGAAGCGCTGCAAATGGTTATAATATGTTATAACGAGTGGCGGCAAAATTATTGGATATGGTAGCCTTCGGCGGCACAGTTACAGCTGATAGATTGTACGCTCCGACGGCGGCATGGCACGTCCCACCTTTCGCGGATAAGATTGGTCAAAGGAGGATCCCACGATGAGGTCGGAACTCAATGAAGAAGGATATAAAATAAAGGATAAAGCATTTGCCGTTGATCAATCCCTTTTTGGGATGCGGCACGCATTCTACTTCCATTTGTACATTCGCAGTGGCGTTTGAATGCGATGTGGCCTATACAATGACTTGCGGGGGCCAGCCGATGTTCAAGTCAGTGTTTTTATCCTCCCAGACAAGTCTGGTACCAATTAACCGACCCCGGAGGGATGGAAGGCTGGTTGGCCCGGGCGACTCACGACCCAGGATTTGATCCCCGGACCGCTCGCGTGGTAAGCGTGCCACTTGCCACTACACCACTTCCGCCCAAGCGTATAAAGAAGGGACTTTATACCTAGGGAAAAGGCAGGCGGGTCCCTAAGAGTGTGAACCGACACTCACTAGCTGACCATACACTCAGGTCTCTAGCCGTTTAGCGGATAAAGCGTTAACTTGGTTAGGGTCGCATCAGAGCGGGAGTCAACGAGCAAAGAAGGAGTCCTACCTCCCGTCATCTTAGGCTGTTTTTTCTTGTTTTTTCCTTCTTCCGTGTTTCACTGACCATATCTGAGCCATTTCCTGAAGAGCTGCCTTCCTATTGTGGAACCCGTCTTCGAAGAATCGGTCGCGATCAGCTCTACCCTTAGCACAGCTGTCAGGGCACTGTTGCATTCACAAGAAGGCCACAAGTACGCCAACTCCTTCGCTTGACCACTGCAACCGCTGCCACTCATTCATTCGCAGCACATATGGTGTCCGGGCTCTCTCGCACAACGTGCTCTCACCTTTTGCTCTCTTTGCAGTGCTGAGTCTCTACGGCGTACCGCGGTCGATCTTATGGAGGAGGCCCTTGATTTCAGTGTTTTCGATGGTTCCTTTTGCGTTTTTCTCACTGACGGTTGTCTTCGCACCTATTGTTTCATTTTCAAAGGAAATAATACACAAATGTACGGCCTGCACCTTTAGAAGAATCGCACAGGGAAACGTAACGCCTTCGTTCCCACATAGATGTGTCATCTGTGATCACTGGTTGCAATGTTCAAATCCCATGCATGGTTCCATGCACGGCTTACTAAATCTCACCTGACGCGTCGTAGGCAGGATTTAAATTTGAGCTCTCGGAGGGTAGAGGCAAAAGGTGTAGAGCGAAGATAAGAATGCGTTGGAAGGCTGGGATGCTCTCACCATTGTTGAGGGGGTCAAAAGTCTGCCAGTATGGCACTCAGAAGAAGGATTAAGCGCTCAACTTCGCCATTTTGTGACAACCTTTTCTGGAGTCATGAGGTTCTCAATGATTTTTTTGAGGGTTAATGCATGATAGTCGCGTTCCTCATTTGCAAGAATAAATGAGCTTGGACTCCCATAATGCCTCTCATTTCAGTATCTTCAAGTACGCGCAAGGTGCCGTTAGTTTCGAGGCCAAGGAAAACAAGGAAAGAGAAGGGGTGGAGAAAGTAGTGATCGCGTTCGACACAGAACCCCAGGTGAGCTACATTTGCACTTGGCCTTATACAGAGGATCACACCCACCAGGGTCAAGCGTGCGTTGAGGAATCCTCGACACGTCGCAGGGGGGGGGGTCGTATTGGCCCGCTGGGTGGAAGAGATCGAGCCATTTTGATGCAGTGGGATCATCACCGTCGGAAGACAAATATCAAGGATGAGTCGATGCCAGGCCAGAGGATTTCCAATGAAAATGATATTTCACCCACACAAAATTTTCGTGATTCTGAGGCGTCCGGTAATTCTTAGTTACTTCAGTGTTTTATCACCACACAAGTTAAAGAATCTGAATTTCGCACGCTTTCCAAGAGATATTTCATCTTTCAAGTAAGACCCCGAATCTGAAGGGATGTGAGGTACACGGCGCATCCGAGAAAGGGTCTAGTTGTTGCGCGCGCTTCAACTACGGCTCCTTGGACAAACAACCTCAATTCAGGAACAATCGAGAGAATTCTGAAAGTGTCCGTGCGCATTTACAGGGAGGTGTACACCATTCAACATTGCGTTAACGGACTCTTCAGGGTTAAATTTATAAACATGTAACCTTTAAAGTTGAGAAACGCTAATCAATCACTTTTCTTAGAAAGAGAAAAGCAGTGATTCCAAATCTGCTCTTACTTTAGTACATAATCGCCCTTAAAAGGATATACAGCCGTTGAAATAGTGCCAATGTAGCGAAAAAGTACCTTTCGGCGGTACTCGTGCGAAAATCCTCAACGTAGCCGTTTTTTTAATACTGGACGTTTGGAGCAGTTCTAGTAAGCATTTGATAGAGCAAATCTTCTAGTTTATGATGGCGTATTTACTTTTCGGATTGGATGAGTTTGAACGGAGTTATGGCTTTAGGAAGTAAAAAAACTCGCACTCATCACAAATTTTCCTCGTTAATTTTGCAAAAATCCTCAACGTGGCCATTTTTTGAATACTGGACGTATAAAGCTGCTTTAGCAACGGTTTGATAGAGAAAATCTTCTAGTTTTGTATGACGTATCAACTTTTTGAATTTGACGGAAATGAAGCAAGTTATTGCTCCGGAAAGTGTAAAAACTCGTGCTCGTCTCGAATTTTCCTCGTTATTTGATCTAAATTTGTTATTTCTTATAACTTCCTGTAATTTCAGTACTGATTAGAAAGAAGCTCTTCACAAAACTCCCAAATCTGCTTTCAGATTGAAAATTCGTCATATTTGAAGAAAGTTATAATCATTTGAATATTTGTTCAAATTTCAATAGTAAATAAGCTGCTCCACGGTCAACGCCAAAGTCCAGTCAACACACAGCTGGCGAAGGGTTAAAAAGCTTCTTTCAACTGAAGGGCTACGTGCAAATTGAGAACCACAATCTGTGTGTAGTACTAGAATTTGGTAAGTCTTGTGGAGGAAATAAATAAAGAACAGATGTTGTCATAGTATGCCATTTTTAGTGGCTAGTTTGTCGTTTTCTGGTCTGTTTCTCGTTTGCTCGTTTGGTAGGACTCATCAATAATGATTATTCTTTGACTTTTTCACTTTTGTACTTCTTAAACGAATTTTTTTGTGGGCGGTGGGGTAGCAGGGCTTTTTTATGAGCAGTTTTGGGGGAGAATTAAACAAGCTTTTCAACCTTTTCATAGTTCGGCTTTTGAAGAGGGTTGTTTCATGGACTTCGGCCTCCGGCGGAGGGTGGTGGGGGGGGGGTCGTATTTCCAAATTTTCCTCAACGCCTCGCTTGACCCTGCGTACAGGCGTTCAGTGCAATAAAGTGCAGCGTACGGTACGGTTCTGATAGGTAGCCACAAAACGGACAATTTCAGTCTGAACTCTAAAAATTCTTTTGGGAATTCTCAGCCTATGTTGCACAGAACTATTTTCAAGTTTGCTGTCCTCACACATAGTAGCCGAGAATTGTGGAATGATATCTCACTTTACTACCTCTTTATTATTAGGTTGTCCCATAAATAGTGTCGCTTTTTTCTGACGAAACATTTTCTCCTGAATCCTCGTACTTTTGCAACATGTCATAACCGTTCGCAAGAGAATCGTCTGCTCTATAAGTGATTTGTTTCTCTTCCACCTCTGTTCCAGGGTTTTCAAATTTTAGAGCGTCTGCGAAATGGAAGGTCCAGCCGGCGAGAATTAACCAAACCGACAACTAGCTATAACGTTATCTTCTCTCAGCAGAAATCACTTCATTATATAAACCAGAACTTTGGTGTGTCGGTTTGTCGGTGTGTGTGTGTGCGTGTGTCGTTCTGTCCGTCCGGACCGACCGCTCACAAAACCAGGGAGTACGAAAGGGCAACACTTTTGATGTTGATGTCATGATCATGATAACACCCACAGCGGCTATATAAACACCGATCGAGCACACTCAGCCTCATTCTACATGGTGCTGCCGTGGCAGCCTGGAAAGGGGGAGGGTATAGGAGGGGGGGGGGGGAAGAGGATGCAAGAGGGAAGGAGAACAACAGCAGCCTATCTCATTTATTCTATTATCTGTTTTACACACGTGGAAGGACCACAGCGGAAGACGTGAAGCTTAGGCAGGGAAGCAACGTCTTGGCGTTTGACGGGGACCAGTCTGGTTAATCAATGATGTAAAATTCGCGGGTCTGAAATTTGAAAACCTGGAACAGAGGTGGAAGAAGAACAAAGCATCTTGTAGAGCAGACAATTCTCTTTCGAATGGTATATGACATAGTGTAAAAGCATGGGATTTAGAAAGAAAATTTTTCGTTTGAAAAAAAGCGACACTACTTATGGGGCAACCTAATATCTCTTTTTTTCCAGTAGTGACCAAGATTTCTACGAGGCAATGGAATTCGCGCACACAACACGTACAACGGACGATCAAAGGTATGTTTCAAGGTTCATCTTCCTGTCGTTGGACACGCGATAGCCGCTCAATCAAGTTTCGAAGCTTAATCCGAATGAAGCCACAGTTTGCAAAGTAAGAGGCATGGGTCGGGAACGAGTTGCTGGCTATTTTGTTTGAAAACAAGAAAAGAATGTGCCCGATGATTAACGTTAAGCGGGCCAAAAGCGAGGAGCGTCATAGAAACACAAATTCCATATGTGAGCATCGGCTGTGTAATGAGGGGATTGCTGGAAGGTTATATATGGATGAATAACATTACAATTCCAGGTGATCGTAATCGCGATGGGAAAGGATCTCGATGTAGCACGACTGTCGCTCCTGAGCTATGGTAGTGGTTTCACGTTCCACGCTGATTACGATGGGCTCAGAGACCTGGTGCAGCGGTCATGGCGCTCTCTGGTGAACAGCAGGATACCTTCCTGTGGTGGCCTGATATCAGGATTATAATAATAATTTTGTTACAAGTGAGAAGTGTTCTGTGGGTCTTGCTAGTTTTGAGAGTATATACAGGGGTGGCCAAAAAAAAAGAGACACTTCACTCCACATTTCAGACAGCATTAATCACACTTTTGCTAAAACCAAATCGACTGCCTCCAACTCATTATTAAAGAGCACATTCTAATCTATCTAAAAGTTACATGACAGACATCAGAAGATTTTCCCACGGAAACATGGTTCACGGTACGAGCTCAACGAGGTCGTCGAGGTACCATAGACCATTACGACGTCCCTGAAACTGGTCAAAAGCGGTTTTGCACAGTCACAGCTAATGTCTCTGGGAAGCTATTCAACAGTTAATCCATTGAAGAAATTATGTAGCAGCTTCAGGCCGGAGCGATTACGGTAAGCCTCGTTGAGCTCGACGGTGGCGGCAGATGACGTCATATTCTGAAGACGGCGGGGGCAGTGAAGGAGGGCCTGCTTCTGTTTACGGGGAACACCTAAGGAATATTCGCCGTAAAACTTTCATTAACATCGGCTCCCTGTGCGACGAAAAGTTCGATGATGTGCGCCATGGGCAAAGTGTCTCTTTTTTTTGGCCACCCCTGTATATACACTCTCAAATACAGGGGGGGGGGGCAAAAAAAAAGAGTCACTCCTACTCACATTCAAAACAGAATTAATTACACTTTGCCAAAACCAAACCGAATGAGCTCAATTGCATATTGAAGAGCACATTCTATTCTATCAAAAACATTGCATAGTGGCCTTCTAAACCGACGACACCAGAAGATTTTCCCACGGAAACATGGTTCGCGGTACGAGCTCAACGGGGTCGTCGAGAAACCATAGATAATTGTATGTGATTGCTTATCACATACATGAGTGATGAAAAAGTGAAGGTGAGAGTCCCTAATAACAAGTAAACTACATGTAAAAACAAAAGGTGCAATTTAAACAGAAGCGAGATGAGGAATGCAAAACCAAAATTTGAGATTCTAGTCTGGGCAGTTGGGAGAAATAAGTTTGACAGTGTATTCCTGAATGACCAGTCTGTTTGATTTCATGGTGGTTCTATCAACGAAGGGCGTATGAAATTGTGTTTGGCTCTGCATGCGACAGGCTTCATAGCGCCCCCTAGTAAATGACTCTTCAATTACAATTAGGCCAGTTTTGCTCCGCACGCTACCGCGCGCATGAAACGGAAGGCTGTGAAGCAGGACAGCCGATAAAGCGTTAGGTTCACCGCTAAACATTGAGTTGTTTCGTAAAATGCGTTAGCTGACCGTTCCATAGGCTGCCCATCTTTGCAGAAGCTCACCGTTTGATACGCGCAGTGGAGTGCGGAGCTAAAGTGGTGTCTGTAAACAACCACCATGCATCGAATGTCAGTGTAATTTAGCGGTCGGATTGCTTTGATGTTGAAATATAAATACCCAGCACTCGTTATCGTATTTCTTTGAACATCCACCATTTATTTTAGAAACCAGCTTTGCTCCGCCCGGTATCGCGCGCATCACATAACCTAAGGTAACAACTTTTTCTGGAATCCTGTAGGTTATGGAACAAAGAAGAGCTCTGGATGTTCATCATTGCTTTTTGGTCAATTTAAACTTCGCATTTTGGGGAAACATTTCAATTTCATCGAACAGTGCCCGGAATTCCAGTCTTCTTTCAGAATTAAAC